GTGGATTGTACATCCAGTCAAACTGATGGAACTGAAACGTCCGATAAATATCAGGGGACGCCTTGATATCAGCTACCACCACCCTAGTCTCAAGCATGATTGTGCGCTTCTTGAAACTGCCATTCTTGGTCACAATACCCTTGTTGAAGAATTCTTCGGACCGGTTCACAGTCCACATGGAGCAATAACAGTCAATCAAATGTGGTCTCGCTGCAGGATTAAGTTCATGGATGTTCACATACATCACCATGGTATCATCAGTGGTGATCTCTACATCCTCATCCATAGTAGTTGCCTCCTCTCGTACTCCAATTTCAGCTTCTGTATTTACCGCATGTGGTGAGGTGTTTGCATTTACCTGAGAGCCGTTTTCAGACTCTACACTGCCCCCAAATTATCAGTAGACTGGCTACCTGAACAAGCATTAGATTCACTACCCGATGCTTCACTGCTACCGGAACAACTTCCTCCCTCTTCAGATTGGGGAGGAGTGTCCTGGAGAATGGCCCTCTTTGTCTGTGCTCTAGTAGCCTGAGGTGAGTGATCCTCAAAAGTGGTATTTATTTGGACCTCGAAACTACTAGACTCGAAGTCGTCATGACCTTTTGATTGAGAAGCAGTGGTGAGAGGGGCAGGCTTGGTTGCATTCTTTCTCGAGGGAGCCGTGGTACCTGATAAACACAACACCAATTAGTACAAAACTCAATAAAATGACACACTATCGGGTACTCAGACTTCCCCTGTGTAATTACATCGTGACGCTTTGCTTAAGAATGTCGTTACCCAATATATCATTGGGAAGGGCCATCGAATCAAAAGATGACAGAAATAAAAGTACAGAAAAATTAATTTTTTTACAAAACCAAGACACTCTACAGAAGCTCTAACGGGCCGTGGTAGGTACCATGGTCCGTTAAACCCCTCGTGGATTTAACACAGACTCAGTGTTCAGCAGGAGGTTGACCAAGTAATGTTCACGGACGGTTACACGGCTCGTGGATTGAACCACGGTTCATGATACTGGTCGTGAACTTACCTGATGGGTGGAAGGAATTCAAGTGTGGTCCACGATTGGTTTCACGGCTCATGGTAGCTTTCACGGTCGGTAAAACCTATCATGGTCTTACACTTGGCCAGTGTTTTAGTCATCTTCTCCCCCCCCCCCCTCCCCCCCATTCACTATATTACACATTTACAACACCAACCCCCAATTTTACACAAGATCACAACCAACACATATCCACACATCACAACTTTTCTTAATAAATTCAACTAACCCTCATTAAATTAGAACCAATTTACACAAACACATTTAGCACACAATTACGACCTAATGTGATCATAAAATTCAACTTTATGCAATTGAAATTAACCCACAATAATTCAATATCAATTAAGATTAATCATTACAAAATCATGCTAATCTCAATTAATTCAAAGTAAATCTAACTTGTTTTAGACAAGATCGAACTTGAAACAAATTATGAAGTGACTTACTTGGAAATAATGGAGAGTTTCGCCCACACAGAAGAAGATGAAATTGATTTGAAACACTTGATCAACTTAGGACTTAGGGTTTTGATTCTTTTAGGAACTACGAATTAATGGGGATAGGAACTACTTAAAATTCTTTAGTAACTGTTATGGAGGAGAATATGAGGAAAAACAAAACCCCAACATTTGGCGCTTTAGGAATCATATAAACGATTGTTTTAATTTTGGTGCTATCGCGGGTCGCGTCGGGTATTGGTAGGACTGGGTTGTGGACTACGGACCGTGAAAGGGCTCGTGAAGGTCACTACGGGTCTGTATAGTGGCCCGTGAAACTGACTTGGGAGTAAAATACTTACTTGTGGTTCACGAGAACCTAGATGGTCCGTACAAATCATGACGGACCGTGAACCCTTCCATGAAACTTTTTCTTGCAAATTCTAGTATCTCCTTTAGGTTGGTGCTAAGTTTGACGGACCTTGAAAGTTCACGTGAAGTGCACCACGGTCTGTGAGACTGCCCGTGAAGAGAAGTCTGCACCTAGTTCCTGCACTTTTTAACCAATTCTCTCCTGCACACGTCAACACACAATAACTCTATAAAAACAAAGAACAATAAAGAAAAGGGACAACACCTACATCTTGGGTTGCCTCCCAAGCAGCGCACAATTTAACGTCCGGCCCGATGCAGGTTACTTTATTACTCAGACTTCATCAAGTTTACATTCCTCCATAATCTTCAAATCCTCTGGAACACCCAAGTATGCCTTGATTCGCTATCCATTAGCTTTGAACCTCACGCCCTTATCATTTTCCAGCTCAATAGCACCCGACTGAAACACATGTGTTACCTTAAAAGGTCCAGACCATTTGGATATCAATTTTCCCGGAAATAGACGAAGACTGGAGTTGAAAAGTAACACAAGTCACCAGGAGCGAAGCTTCTTTTCTCAATATGCCTGTCATGATATAGCTTCATCCTCTCCTTATACAGTGCAGACCTCTCATAGGCTCCAGACGGAACTCATCCATCTCATTAATCTGATCCAACCTCAGGTTTGCAGTTTCGCTCCAACTAAGGTTCATCTTCTTCAAAGCCTAAAGTGCTTTATGCTCAAGCTCAACCGACAAATGACATGCCTTTCCAAACACCAATTGATATGGAGACACATCAATTGATATGGAGACACACCAATTGATATGGAGACATACAAATAGGCGTCTTGAAAGCTGTTTGATATGCCCATAGAGCATCATCTAACTTCCGTGCCCAATCTGTCCTGTTGGCATTTACCGTTTTAGCTAGAATTCCTTTAATTTCTCTGTTGGAGACCTCCACTTGGCCACTGGTCTGTGGGTGATAAGGTGTTGCTACCTTGTGTTGTTTAACTCCATATTTAGGCTGAAGAGAACTGAATACCTTATTACAGAAATGAGAACCACCATCACTGATGATAGCTCTGGGTGTGCGAACCTTGAGAAGATATTCTTCTTTAGAAAACCAGCAACACTCTTACCATCATTCTGAGGCAAAGCAACTGCCTCAACCCATTAGGACACATAGTCCACTGCAACCAATATGTACTTCTGCCCACAGGAGCTCACAAATGGGCCCATGAAGTCGATTCCCCACACATCAAACAACTCCACCTGTAGAATAGGTGTCATGGATAACTCATGGCACCGAGAGATGGCTCCTTGTCTCTGGCACACATCACAACTCCTCACTACATCCAGCACATCCTAATTAATTGTGGGCCAGTAGTACCCACACTGAAGTATCTTATGAGTTGTCTGAGTACCTCCATATGACCACCTATCGGAGAGGAGTGGCATGCTTCTAGAATATGCAACATCTCAGCTTCAAAAATACATCGCCTGATGATGTTATCAGCACACACCCCGTACAGATAAGGTTCATCCCAAAAATACTTACCCACATCATGCAGGAACCTCTTCCTTTGTTTATAATTCCGCCCCTCAGGCATCAAATCACTAACGAGATAGTTAGCAAAAATCAGCAAACCAAGGAATAAGATCAAGAGTAGCGGCTAATACCTGCTCATTCGGGAACAAATCATTTATGTCAAGCTCAAGTTCCTCTTTCTTTTCAGCCTCCAACCTCGACAGGTAATCAACCACTTGCTTCATAACCTTTCCTATCCTTAACCTCAAAATCAAACTCCTGAAGAAGTAACACCCATCTAATCAGCCTTGGTTTGGCATCCTTCTTTGCCATGAGGTATCTCAGAGTTGCATGGTCTTATGGACTATCACTATAGTACCTAACAAGTAAGCTCTGAACTTCTCAAAAGCATACACCACAGCCAGCAGTTCCTGTTAAGAAACTGTGTAATTTCGTTGTACTCTATTCAGTGACTTACTAGCATAGTAAATCGAATGAAACATCTTGTTGCTCTTCTGCCCTAACAAAAATTCCAAAGCAGTACCACTAGCACCGCACATTACCTCAAACGGCTCAGCCCAGTCTGGGCCAATAATCATCGGTGCAGAAATCACCTTCTCTTTTAGGTATTCAAAAGCTCTGAGACATGCTTCATCAAAAACAAACTTCACCTTCTTCTCCAAAAGCTTGCACATAGGGTGTGCAATCTTAGAGAAATCCTTGTTGAACCGCCAATAGAATCTGACATGTCCTAAGAAACTCCGAACACCCTTCACACAAATAGGTGGATGCAACTTTTCAATCACCTCAATTTTGGCCTTGTCAACCTCTATCCCCTTTTGTTACACCTTGTGCCAAAGTACTATGCCTTCTTTCACCATGAAATGACACTTCTCCTAGTTCAGCACTAGGTTGGCCTCCTCGCATCTCTGTAGGGCCCTGCTAAGATTCAACAAATAATCATTAAAGGTATCACCTACCACTGAAAAGTCATCCATGAAGACTTCTAGAGTATCCTCTACCATGTCTGAGAAGATAGACATCCTACACCTCTGGAAAGTTGCTGGTGCATTACATAGTCTAAATGGCATGCGTTTAAACACAAAGGTGCCATAAGGACATGTAAAGGTGGTCTTTTCTTGATCTTCAGGAGCAATCGATATCTGGTTGTAACCAAAGTATCCATATAAAAAGCAGTGCCACCCTTTGCCAGCCAACCTGTCAAGCATCTGGTCCATGAAAGGCATTAGGAAATTATCCTTCAAGGTCCACTTGTTCAACTTCCTGTAATCCATGCACACTCGCCATCCAGTGACTGGCCTCTGCGGGACCAACTCATTCTTGGTGTTTGCAACCACAGTCATACCGCCCTTTTTGGGCACACATTGCACTGGACTGACCTAGTCACTGTCAAAAATAGGGTATACCACTCTAGCATCTAACCACTTGATGATCTTCTTTTTTACCACATCTTGGATAGGTGGGTTTAGCCTTCGTTGGTGATCAATGCTTGGGCTGCAGTCCTCCTCAAGTTGAATTTTATGGGTTCGTATACCTAGAGGTATCCCGATGATGTCAGCAATGGTTCACCCAATAGTCCTTTTTTACCTAATCAACACTTTGATCACAACTTGAACTTGTTCATCATTCAAATCTGCAGCCAAAATCACAGGTAAAGTGTTGTTAGTTCTCAAAAATACATACCTCAGGTGATTGGGTAACTGTTTCAGTTCCAGCACAGGTGGCTCCTCAATGGATGGTTTTGCTGGAGGAATTGGCCTATTTTTCAGATCCAGGTCCAACTTCTTTGGAGCATAAGAGTGTGCTCCCATACCCTGCAAAGCATTCACGATCTCTACATAGTCAGACCAGAAGTCAGCTTCAAAGTTCATCAGCACTGCAACTAAGGTTTCAACGGCCATCCTCTCTTCAATTTTTGCTCCCATTTCTTCTTCATCAAAGACCGCTATTGCAGACACAAGATTCATATCATGTGGCTTCTTCATGGACCTGCAAATATTAAACTTTACCTTTTCTTTGTTGAGTCTGAACTTTAGTTCTCCTCGCTCAACATCTACCAATGCTCGTCTCATGGCCAGAAATGGCCTTCCCAAAATAATGGGAACCTCGAAATCCACTTTGCAATCCAAGATCACGAAGTCTGCCAGAAAGATGAATGTGTCCACCTTCACGAGCACATTACATAGAATGCCTAAAGGTCGCTTCACTGACCTATCTGCCATCATCAACCTCATGGTTGTGGGTTTTGGAACTCCTAACCCCAGTTGCTTATAGATGGCTAGCGACATCAAGTTGATACTGGTCCCTAGATCACACAAGGCCTTTGCAAATTCAATTGATCCGATAGTGCACGGTATGGTAAAAGCACCCGGATCCTCCTTCTTTTGTACCATACACCTGGTAGCAATAGCACTGCAGTGATGAACATTGTCAGTTAAATCAATACTTACAGCTCTTTTCTTTGTGACCAAGTCCTTCATGAACTTGGCATATCCTGGTATTTGTTCTAGTGCTTCCACCAGTGGGATGTTTACCAACAATTGTCATAGCATGGTGATGAACTTAGCAACTTTCCCATCTTCAGCTTTCTTTTTAAGCCTTTGAGGGAAAGGATGAGGTGGTCTTGGGATTTGCTGTAAAGGCAAGGTTCCCTCAACCTCGTTTTCTTTCACTCCTGCTGGTTTGGCTATTGGTTGAGCATCATCCAAGTCATCAACTTGCTCAGCTTCATCCTCCTCTCTTCCAGCTTGCTCCAATACATGCTCATGTTTAGTACTTGCAGAAATTAGGTCAGTAATAATCTTACCACTCCGGGTGGCGATAGCCATGCAATACCCATCTTTCTTAGGGTTCTGGATCGTGTCACTTGGTAGTGACCCATTCTTTCTCTGATTTAATGAGGCTAAAAGTTGCCCCAACTGCTGCTCAATTTGCTTGATGAAGGTGGTGTGAGAGTCTACCAGTTGACTCATATTGGAGAAATCAATTTTCATATCCTTCACCCCCTGCATCAGTTGATTCCAATTTTTGTAGAACTTTGGCCAACATATCTTCCAGCTTAGACCCGCTGGAACTACCACTTGCGGTAATTTCTATACCCCTCTCTATTCTGCCAATTTCCCTGCACTCTGTTTGCTGGCCTATCATACTATCCTTCCCTTGAGTAGTTCCGACCTACATTTCCAGAATTGTAACCCTGGTTGCCCGAGTTATAATTTTGGAAGCCTTCTTGGTTTCCAGGTAATTTGCCTCCTCATCTAGATCTATATCGTGATCTTCAAACCTATTTAGTTGGCTCACATCATTTACCTTTTCAGACTTTGAGACAATATGCTTTGTGAGTAAATCTATTTGGGTCCTCATGTGTGCCATACCCTGATCTCTTTCTTCTTCTCTCTTCCTTTGTTCAGCCAACAGTTCAAATGTGTACCCCTAGATATCCTACTTCTGCATCCCTGGTGTACCATCCCCTGTTATTCTTTGACACTTCGTCCATCAGTTGCTTGCTCTCTGAGAATGGCTTCCTCATAAATGATCCTCCACACACTGCATCAAAAACAGGTTTAGTGACATAATTCAAAGATCTATAGAAAGCTTGTTTCAAATGCCTCTCAGTGAGACCATGGTTTGGGCACTTTTTCAGGTTTTGGCTGAATCTGCTTCTCCTGGTAGCTGCTTATGGGCACTCATCTCGTCTTTCATCTGCAACTCTTTTGATTCAAGAAAGAATCCTTCTAGGAAAGCCTCCTTCAATTCAGTACAAGTCCTAATAGAGTCAACCGGCATCTCATTCAACCAGTTGGTTTCCTCTCTAGTAAGAGACAAGGGAAACAACCTCAATCTCATCGTTGTTTGGCTTACTCCAGGAATCTCTTGCGATTTGCAAATCGTCACAAAGTTCATCAAATAATGGTTCGCATCATCACCAGTTGTACCCTTGAACATACCTTTCATATTCAAAAATTGAATCATCGTGCTGGTGATTGTGAACTTCACACCTGGAGGTAGTGCAGGTAACACTATCGCTCTTGTAGCTCCAGCTCTATCCAAGTCTGAATCATCTTCGTCATACATCATGTGAGCAAGATGTTGTGCTTTACCTCTTGGAGCTATTGGTTGGCGGTGGGGAGGAATGATTCCATCCACTGCTACATTTTCGTTCACTACCCTGGGTTGGTTGTTCACACATTCGGCTGAATACCTCTTGCGACGATTTCAGCTTCCAATCCAAATCTCAATCTTTGTGCCTCAAGCTCTTGCGCGTTCACCATCTTGCAGATTGTTTTCTGAAGTTCTGGATCATATAGGACTAATGGGGAACCCTTACTTCTGGTATTTAGCATACACAGTCGAACTCACCTGAAATAGACACAGACAAAGAACAAGACGTAAAATTACGAAATCTAACTACACTTAGAATAAAAGCTAGTAAAACACTTTTGAATTGAAATTCCCCGATACCGGCGCCAAAATTTGATACGTCCAAACTTACACCTCAATTAAGAGATATAAACGGTCGAAGTCAATTTATAGAACTCAACGTGAGTTGAGTTCAATCCCACAGAGATTTTCTTTACAGAAATAATTTCATTGTCACGTTTTACCCAAATGTTGTTATTATTTCCTAAATAAACAATTTTGGAAAGTAAAATTGGGTTTGGCGTTAACGCTTTGATAACCAAAATTGCAAACTAAAGTCTAATTCAACAAGTAACAAAATATCAGTTTCGAAGTTGTTTCAATAATTAACTGAAATTAGGATTGTGTTCCCCATAACGTTTCGACTAATGCTCTTTCGTAATTGAGTTTCAGGCAATTTACCTGTACAAAATACATGCAAGTTAGCTATATCTGACACTTCTCAGTTTACTCAGACAATCTTCACTCAAGTCCTCTCGGTCCTAGAGTGATACACGATTTACCCTCGCCTACAATGGTGTGTAGATTCTTTTCTCTCTAACTTAAACCTTAACTCCATTTCATCGTATTAATTTAACTTTCTTACTATCATTTTTCTCTCAAACAAATGACAGATACATGCTCACTCTAATGCGTGTACTCATCAGAATACATGAATAACGAAAGCTAAATTACAATTTGCAAACATAAATTGCCTTCCACTCATTTTATGAAATTACGATTAGAATTACGTCATGGATCCCACAACCCCAGATGTGGTGTTTAGCTACTCATAATTTCACATAAATGTTAAGAAACATATAATGAAAACATATTAGAAAATACTTATGAGAATAAGCAAATCAACCACCACTTTGATATTTCAAAAACCGAAAAACCAAACTTCAAACTTAATTTAATATCCAAAATCAAAATCCAAAAGCTATGAATAATGGAACATGTTCGTCGTTCAATGTAAGATGAGATAAAAACTAAAAAATGACCTAATTAATTCAAAATAAGTGTTTTAAAAAGAGTCCTACTCGAAGTTGGACTAAATTGTCGGGCCCTTCACGCCCACTTCTACGACCCGTCAAGGGCTTCATGGTCCGTGAAGCCCCTCGTGGTCTTCACTTGGATTCCCTCAAAGCAGGTTCTTCAAGACTTGTACACTGTGTCATCACCACGACATGTACCACGGGTCGTGACAATGACCACGGGCAGTGAAGTTGTCCGTGGTCTTCACTTGGTAACTTATCTCTTCAACTTACCAAGGCCCCTTCACTGTATCATTACCACGACATGCACCACGGGTCGTGAAAATGACCACGGGCCGTATAGTTGTCCATGGTCTGAAGTGGTAACTTCTCTCTTTAACTTTCCAAAGCCCCTTCACTGCATCACTACCACGACGTGCACCACGGGCCGTTGTGAGGACCATGACTCGTGAAGTCGTCTGTGGTCTTCACTTGGTTCAATTCCTTTGTCAACTTTTCCTTGCCTATTCAGTAGTTGAGTTTCACGGCCAGCACCACGGTTCGTGACAAGGACCACGACCCGTCTAGGTGCTCGTGGTGTTCACTTGGTCACCATCATTTCGTCCTTCTTTTTTCAATTTTCCACGCAAGCAAGAATTTGTCTACACATTCAACAAACACATCAAAGCATACAAAAATACACTCAATTCTAGCATTAATCCTTAGTTTTCAAGCATCAATTGTGCCAAAATTTTGCGGCACATCATGCATACCTTTACTTTTCAAGTTCGTGACCTTTGTCTGTGTTTTATTCTAGCATTTCCTATTGTTTTTACCTTTCTTACTCAGTCGGCCTATGATGCCTATTGGGTACCTTTTCACTGGTACTCATACTACACTCTGCATCTATTTTCGTGATGCAGGACTGAGCACCAGTCATCAGCACCACCATTCGAGCATGTAGCAGCCATCATCCGTAGGCGAGGGTGAGCACAACGTCCTGATCATCGTTGTCTCCTTCTGTATATATATACTTTGTGCCTCGTCTTTTGTACTTGAGACAGGTCCTTTGTAGTTGCGTATATTTTTGTATGTTGGTCCACTTTTGGAACTTGTACTCTTAGTATCGCTTTGTCCTTGTGAATTCCAGGTTCTGCGAGGTATTCAATTCTTATTTATGTATTATTTCTGTTTACCTTATTCCTTTTTGTTGTTATTGTTTCTGCCACTTGGTTTCTACCCTTTTACCCACTACTAGCTATTCTGGGTTTTGGGTTGGCTTACATATGGGTGGGATATAGTAGGTGCCATCACGACTCAAGGAATCGGGTCGTCACATTTTCATAACTGTCCGAAAAATTAAAAATAAATTATTTTTCCTCGTAAATGTACGAAACATATAAAAATCAAGAAAAGTACATCAAAATACCTCAAAAAATTCTCAAACTACACCAATGACCTTAGAATATCGAAACAAAAAAATGATCAAAATTTTACTCTTTTTTTTCGTAAATGTCCGAAAAATAACATAAAATTTATTTTTTCCTCATAAATGTACGAAACATATAAAAATCAAGAAAAGTACATCAAAAAAACTCAAACAATTCTCAAACTACACCAATGACCTAAAAAATATCGAAACAAAAAAGTGATTAAAATTTTACTCTTTTTCGTAACTGTCCGAAAAATAGCAAAAAAATTATTTTTCCTCGTGAATGTACGAATTCAAGAAAAGTACATCAAAACACCTCAAAAAATTCTCAAACTGCCCAATGACCTTAGAATATCGAAACAAAAAAAATGATCAAAATTTTACTCTTTTTCATAACTGTTCGAAAAATAACATAAAATTTAATTTTTCCTCGTAAATATACAAAACATATAAAGATCATGAAAAGTACATCAAAACAACTCCAAAAAATTTTAAACTGCTACAATGACCTTAGAATATCGAAACAAAAAATGATCAAAATTTTACTCTTTTTTGTAACTGTTCCAAAAATAACAAAAACATTATTTTTTACCCGTAAATGTATGAAACATATAAAAATCAAGAAAAGTACATCAAAACACCTCAAAAAATTCTCAAACTGCACTAATGACCT